TAAATGCATAGAATATAGTATTGAAAACAGTAAGTAATATATCTGTTTTTCAATTGCATTTTTTTTTTTTTCATTTAATGATCCTTTTTCTTATATTTTAGATCTGATTGTATCTGGTTCGTGGGATCAAACGGTTCGGACATGGGACGTTCGCGATAAAGACTCACAGACCGGAGTATATAAAATGGAAAATTCTGCCAAAGTTTTTGCGATATCTCTGGTCTCTTATAGATTAGTAGTTGCCACAGCCTCAAGACAATTTTATATTTATGATATAAGAAACATGTCTGAAATACTTCAGAGTAGAGAAAGCAGCTTAAAGTTTATGACTAGGTGCGTTAAATGCATGCCTAATAAACAAGGTAAAAGTATCAAACCTTTTATTCTGTCTATTAAAAGAATTACATTGACTTTAACGCTTTGTAGGATACGCGTGTAGTTCAATCGAAGGACGCGTAGCTGTCGAGTTTTTTGATCCATCACCTGAAGTACAAGCGCGTAAATACGCTTTCAAATGCCATCGGAAGATGATTGACGGAGTTGATACGGTTTATCCTGTCAATGCACTTGCTTTCCATCCAACGTACGTACGTGAGATAATGCCTTGATTTGTTGATCTTTAACCATATTAACGCACTTTAACAATAGACTTGGCACTTTTGCCTCTGGAGGTGCTGATGGTGTCGTGAATATTTGGGACGGATTCAATAAAAAACGTCTTCGACAGTACCCGCAATACCCAACTAGCATTGCCAGCTTGGATTTTAATAAGGATGGTCAGTATTTGGCAATTGCGAGTAGTTACACATTTGAAGAGGGTGAAAAAGATCATCCACCGGATTCTGTTTTTATAAGGCACATTAGTGAGAATGAATGTAAACCAAGACATTTGACTCCACTTCCTTAAATAATAATTGTTCGAAAGGTATTAAATGTAATAATATGAACTTTTCCTAATTTTTTCTCTGACCAATAAAGTAATATTTCACGGACGCAATACGATTAATGTAACTGTGGGATTTTCATTAATACCTTAAGTCGCTATATAAATCACCCGAGCTATATCCTGAGGATTACATTGCAGGAAAAGGATGGTTCAGTCAGACCTCCTATATGTAGCTCACAGGATTTAGAGACAATTAAAAAAAAAAAAAAAAGCATTTAGAGAGATCAAGCATGTATTTGGTCCAGAGTTTAAGGCTACTAGAGAAATTGCGTTTAGGGGGTGTGGCTGCAATGGATTATATGTATAAATTACCGGGTAAAAGGCCCAAAGATGCCTACTATTAAGAGGAGTGGTTTATATGGCGTTTTACGGTAAATACAATCGAAAATCTGCTCGCGAGTTATGTGATAAAATTTTGTGACAAACCATGAAATTATGCAAATCAAATAGAATATGCGATCGTTTAATGAAAAAAGCGTACCGAGACTCGAAAGGGATTGTACCCGAGAACAGGTTATTAGAGTTCACAGAGTTGGTCCAAAATGGGCACATTAAATCATATGAATAATACTTGGATACATATATCGATATTATATTTATTTCCAATATATTCAATAAAAATTACACGAAATGGTGAAACCCGCGCAGAAATAGTTACATTATTGATGCAAATCCTATCTAGTAACTAACCCTAATTAAGTATAGATCTGCACCAAGAAAACTACGTATTACCCCTGCGTAACAGTCATTGCCGAAATTAGGAATGAGATTGGCGATGATAATCTTTTTTTTCACACACATATTTTTTTCATATATCTCTTTTACATATTTTTCGCTTTTTTTCGCCAAGACGTTTATTCGAAGTGGTTATTTTTTTTAAAGATAAGTGTCTCAATCTTTACACACTTGTGTTCAGTTGCTACGCCTATTTAACCTTTCGTTTGTATTGAA